TTCCTGGAACAATGTGCACGCCCCCTTGTGGCCAGAATGATATATTTCCTTTCCTAGATAGAGCTAATCACAAAGAAACTTGTTTGCCCCGGGATCATTTTAATGTATTCCACCAGCTTCCAGTTTCAATTCAACTTTGAAAAAGAAAAAAACCAGCTTCCTTCTGTTCATTCGATATTTTGTTTTGTTTTTATCCCAGAAGTTTGCTGCTAAATGAAAACCAACTAATTACCTAAAGGAGTTTTGCTTTGTTCTTTGTTATTCAAAAATCTTACAAAACTAAAACCTCCTCCACCAGCACTTGGAGAACTCTTGAAAGCTAAAACTGTAGAGTTGCTGTAAGAAAGACACTGGAAGTTATTCATCAAGTCATTGTATCTCACCAGAGAAAAGGGAAATGAAACGTTACAGGATGGAAATGCAATTTAATAGCTGAATGAACATTTGATCGGCTTATTTCATCCCTAAGAAGAAAAGGGGAGAGTGGAGGCAACCCAGGTGGTTAAATTGTAATACAGTAGAAATTCTATCACCCATGAAAACTGTAATTGGGATTCCACTTTTGGATTTGGCCAGCCCAGAAACAGATGTGTGTTTCAATGAGAATCCCAGGCTCTACCTCCTCAAGAAATACTATTCAAAGTTAAAACAAGGCTTTCAACTAGCATATGCTCCAAAGAAGTGACTAGGCTAAATTGACTGTAATTGTCCCAAGGTTTTTAGAATTCCCATGCTGGATTGGGGCTAAATGTGTGGTTCTTGTTGTATGACCTTGAAGAGGAAGACCATGAGGTTGCTCCTACTTCCGCTCTGGGGGGCGGGGCGCGTTATACAAAAATGGGGAGAAAATGTCTTTATCAAGTTGAGATCCAAAGATTTAGACATAAGTATCTCAGCCACAGGGCGTTTCCTCAGTGAGGCTAGATAGACAGTAAGGTTAAGGTGAAGGCCAAGTACCACTTTGTGCATAATTCTCTCCCATTTAGTGAAAGGAATCAAATGGGTCTCATTATATGTCCTGTCGAGTGCACAAGTCTTTCAACTGAGCTCCTCCGATGCATTCTGGCAAGATTCTAAATTCATATCATCCAAATAACATGGAGCAGGTAGCATTTCTTTTGAAAAGAAACTCTGGCCCGTGTAATTCTAGCTAGAGAAGCTGGTGCCAGGAAATTGACAGCAAACGATACCCAGACCACAGTTGAATTCAATAAAGCTCCATCTTTTTAGAGGAGAAAAGAACAAGCAGATAGAAAATGGGGAAATGCAGTTGTCAGGGAGTGAGGGCCACCAGCAGCAATCTAATTCCTGGTGGATTCCAGTGAACTGTGGAGAGCTGAAAGGAATGCCTGCAATAAATCAGTATCCCTTCAGGGTCTCTCCCATCCTTTTCTTTCTTGGCCCAGAGAGACCTGGTTCCCTCCCAAGACTGAGAAAACCGAATTCACCAACACCTTCCCTGGTCTGAAGAAGTCAGGCTACCTTCCAAAAGGACCAGGTCTCTTGTCCCTCAGTCCTCTTCCTCTTGAGATGCTGGCTCTCTTTGCTACAAAGTAGACACTTCTCCCAGGGAAGTTATTGTGAACCCATTCTAAGCACTTCCTCCAAGCAACAAAACAAAATCCTGTCTTTAGTCACTGAAAGCATGAAGCTAGCCCTCTTTACAAATATAGGTTGCTTTTTTTTTAATAAACCCTTGTTGATCTGTATCTATCCATCCATCCGAGAGAACAGATTGAATGTGGTAGAGCTGAAGTAGTGCAAGCAGCAGACGTGCATCCCATGACTGTATGCACAGCACAGCTCCTCCCTGGGCTATCAATGAAATAGAAACAAATCCTTTGCTGAGAGAACATATGGGAGGTGACAAGAGCATTCATTCATCTGCAAGAATAGAGATGAGACTAGGGAGAAACGTTGCGTTTTCGTTTGGATGACTATACTGGATATTATTCTCATTCTTTCAAAACCATCAGAGGGCCATCTGAGTGATTCTTTCTTTCTTTGTATAGTTTTCTCTTTGATATGCCTCTCTGTTTTTCAAGTTATTCTGAAAATAAAAAGTAAAAAGCACATGGCTGCCTGGAGACAGTCTCTGATTAGTGATTCTCTCCCAAATTATGCTACCCTTCATGATACTATAAAATTGTATGGTGAGTCTGCAATTCCTCTAGAGCTCCAGATGCACAGAAAACAAACAAAAAAAAGTCATCTTTTAAATGTGATTTAAATCTCCCACCAATCTTAGAAATAATTTTCTGCCCCCTTTTAACAGCTCAACAAATTCATCTCCTGAGAAGTCAAGCATAGGTAGTACCAGTCTTCCTACTGATGGTTCCTGCAGGTGTTACTAAGTGGTTAGGGTGACTACAGGCCTCCTCTCACCCTCAGTGGAACAGGAACTGAAATCAGGTTCACTGGGAATCTTCACAGTCCCAGACTCAGAAGAGTTTATCCCTCAGTACTAACATGAAAAGCCAAAGCCTATTGTTAGTGTGACTATTGTGTGCCTCCCTTACATCCCTGCCCCCCACGCCCTCTCCGCCCCCCCCCCCCCCCCCCCCTAAGACTCACCTCCATCACAGGCTTTCAAAACAATGGGGAAAAGATCTAGATCTGTGAAGTGTTTCTCTTTGCAGGTGGAACTTAAGAAAAACAAAAGTCTCTGTCTGCTGTCCTGAGATGGATTTCTCCTAGCTTTTATCCCTAAGCAGCTTACACACGGTTGGCAATGTAAGGAAACAAGAGGAGATGAGACTCAGAAGATGGAGAGTGCGGTAGAAAAAGGTTGCAATGCCTACACCAGTCTAAGCAAGCCAGTCCTTCTCCAGGAAGCAAGGAAGGACCCCTGAAACTCCGTACCAGGATTGCTGGATTAGATTGATTCAGATAGCACATTGAGGCTATCTGAAGTCACAGAGGCCCTACTACTTCTTCACATTTCCCTCCCACTCTCCTTAAGACCCACTTTTCTGCAGGCTTGTGGACAACTGACTAGACTGTCTCGGAGTCCAAGTCCCAAACCTGACTCTTAGATGAGATGAGATTCTGTCACTTATTTGTATGTCCAAGCTCTGTCTTCATAACTTGCTGTATGATCCAGGAAAAGTTAATCCATTGCTAGCCCTCTATATTTCTATCTATAAAATGGAACATTTTAAAGTCAAAAGACTTTAAAAATGTGAAAAGGTCTCTGTGTAAAGAAATTGTGCACTGGTTTATGACCAGTAACTTCAACAGGTACTATTATTTTTTTAAATGCAGTGAAAATTACTTCCCACTGGTCCTAAGCATGAGAACAGAGCAGACAACTGCAGCAGACAGTGCCACTTTCAAGCAATAACTCAACTCAAAAGTCTCTTCCCTGGTTTCAGAAAGCCAAACACTGTGAGGGGAAAAAAAAACAATCAACCAGAAACTCCTTTGTAGTTTAAAAGCACTTGATTGTTTGGTAACCTGAGATAATTTCCTTTAGCTTTTGGAATGCTAGAAAAAGCCCTCCATTGTCGCCCACTGCCTTTTTCCCTTTAAGAAGTCACTTCGTTTTAGGGTGACTCCTGCAACTGCCTCTGTTCCCAGGTCTCCAAAGCTGAGCTGGAATTCCCTGGGCTCTTGTCAAGCTGATCCTGAAGGGGAAAGGGAGCCACAGTCACATCAATCTACAGAAGCCGCTGACAAATGTCCCTATGCAGGTCGATTTTTTTTTTCCAGCATCTGCCCAAGCTGGCCAGTGATTGATCAAGAAAATCAAGGAAACACCCTCTGATTGTGTGTATCCTGGGAGGGGAGATGGGGAAGTTTGGGGTGACCATAAAACACTCCATAGGACACAGACATTCTCCCTCACCAAGCGAGTTTCAGATTTTCCTTTATTCAAAGGCAGCCACGTTTAACGGGTGATGCCAGACTCTCACCAGTAATAATATGTTTATGACCACAAAAAAAATTGCATTATACTCTGAGTCCCACCACCAGTGTGCCTGAACTTGTATTCAGTTAATAGCCCCAGTTCCTAGCTCCAGAAGACACCTCCTGGGTTCCTGGGGTTTTTGCCCGCCCCTATTCCTTGCAAACCAGAAGCCAGAAGGAACCTTAGCACCCTGAAGCAGTTTTTTTTTTTTTTCTCAAAATTAACAAATGTACTGAGCCTCAAACACACACACCCCAAACACTGCTGATGGCTTTGCTGTGAGATCAGGCACTGTTGAGTGGAGAGGGCTAGAACACCGTCATCCCCATCATCCTTTCTCCCTACCCTATCTTCTTGTAGGTGACATTAATTCAGAAGCAAAGCCAGCCCAGTCGCTGGGCACAGAAAAAAGAGAGAGAGATTTCCAAACAATATTCAATATTCGGGGATTGGGGGCAATTCAAGGAAGTTGTAGTCTGGTTTGTTACTGTAAAAATATATAAGAAAGGGCATTGGCTTCTTTACTCCTAGGTTCAAGCCCCACTCCGTTGGGACTGTGTGTTCTCAGAGGAGTCGGGAGTATAGAGGAGGGATAGGTCCTTGGAGAGTGCATCGAATCTTTCCAGAGTGGAGAAATACAATCAGAGAAGCTGTATTGAAGAGGACTAGGACCTTTAATGGTAAGAAAAGTGAAAAAGAAGAGAGACTAGGAAATGGAGCAAAAAGGGCGGGGGGAGGGAGTGCAGAATGAGATTGAGATGAGAACATAAAGGAGGGAAGAGAGAGAGAAGGTGAAAGAGGAAGAAAAGAGGATGGATATAGATTGGGGGAGGGGATAAAAATTTAAGTTGAGGCTGTGAATGCGGAGTCTCTGTCCCAGCTAGGGTGGTTAGGAGGATGCAACCATCGAAAGTCAAGGTTCAGAAAAGCCTAAAAGATCCCGGGGCTTATTGAGGAAGTGCGGCGGGACTGGCCAGGGGCAGACCGAGGCGGGGGGCAGCTCCATGTGCCCAGGCGAAGGCCAGTGAGCCGAGCCAAGCTGCGGGCCAGCTCTTCTGCTTTGGGCTGTGACACTGCAAGGTGACTGCCCCTAGGAGGTCGAGGCCGGGATGGGCAGTCCGTGTAAGCTACCAAGCGCGTCCGTGGCCTTGCTGCCCGGGCTAGGGGGCTTCCTGTCGGCGCCTGCAGAGGAAGCAGAGGAGCATCCTGTCACTGCCCAGAGCCTAGGCAGATGAGAAGGACGCCAGTATGTCACGGACTGGGTTCCCTGGCCCTTCCAATGCCTGGAACCAAGAAAGCTCATTCACCCCTGTGCCCTTCAGAGAGACATGCGCTAGCAAGATGGGCTAGGCAAGTATCTCCTCACCCAGGCTTCACTTCTGATGATGACCACGGAGGCAGGTCAGGGGTGCCGTGAAGGTAGGTCTTCAGCTCCTAAGTAGACTTCAAAAGATGACCAGCCTGGTGCAAAGCCTATCTTCCCGACCCGTACCCATTAATCCACTCCAGACCCCAGTGGGATGAGCAGGTGCTAGGACTGGAGGTAGGCGGGGTGTGGAAAACCACCAAGGTTTCCTGGGGACCTCAAACATGAGCCAGGGAATTGCTTTAGGTAAGCAGCTGGGATTCTGCAGACACAGCCCACCCTGGGCCCTGTGCGGATTAAATGGCAGCGGGTTTGCCAGATCAGGCGGTATTCTCGGCATTGCTCTATTATTTGGGGTATTGGGAAGGGGCCCAAGTTTTGCTACTGGAAGCCAGAAAGTGACGCCACGATTGTGAAATTCTGTTTTTCCTTTCCCGGGAACCCGGTGCAGGCAGCCTTTCCTGCACCAGGAGGCAAAAACTAGTGAACTCTAAAGGGGCGCGTTTTCGATTTTCCTTCCACTCCTCAAGTCCCCCCTCGAACGCCTCAATTCCATTCTGACTTGCCAGCTGCCCTCCCAAACCTAGGCATAAAGTGTTATCACTGTCCTATCTGAAATTAATAGTACACGGAAGGAACACAGAGAGAGAGAGAATTAGTGAAAGATTTTGAACAACTATAAAGACTGTAAGACTGTCCAGGACAAAACCCCAGGTGCTCGCTCCCCGACCTCTCAGGAAGCAGTTATGACTGCACAACCAGGTATCCAGGCTTCTTTTCACCTGCTCCACACACTTCAAACGTGAGGAACTGTTTCAAAAACATCTGAGGAGGAGGGGGTTTCTCAGGCAAGAGTAAGTTACCTTGGAGACAAGCAGAGAAAAATAAACACCCGGGATCCAGTAGAGAGATCCCACCGCACCTCGGCAAAATTTTCCTCAGCTTTCATCTCTGTCTCAATACCCCTCCCTTTTTTGGTAGTCTGTGGGGCCCTGGGAATGTGAGTGTGTACGTTCTGGGGACCTCGAGCTAGGGTCACTGGCATACTTTAATCTACGGGACCATGACTACGGGTGGACGTCTTAAAAAATACTAGAATTGCAAGTACGGTGTAACAAGGCTAAGGGAGGCTCAGAGCTCCACTAAGTAAGAGAAAATGGTTATCCAGGAGCTCCATGATTTACAAAGGCTTGCTGGTCATCCATGAGACAATTCTCTTTTGGTATCCTGCAAGCACTAAATCTGGATCAGCAATAAACAGAATAAATTACAATTCCTCTTTAACAACTATAAATAGCAAGTTTTCCTTGTTCTAGTTTTCTCACTGGAAGCCAGAAAGTGACGCTCCCAGATTTGATTTCCAAATCCACTCCCCCCCCCCCTTTTTTTTTAAATCCCTCCTGGGAGTACTTTTAGGACCCTAAAGGATTGCTGGTTTCTGAAATGCGATTTGAAGGCCTGTTGCCTTGAGAGGGGGTCCGTGGAGGGGTCTGTCACCTTGGGGAGGAAAGTCCTGGCACAAAGCCCTTTGGATGGATGTGAATATTCTTTAAAACCCTGTACCACCTTGTGAAGAGAACAAGGTTTCCTTACTCTCCTCTCAGTTGCCAAGAATTAAAAGTTCCCTTTCGGGAGATGAAAGACAACATCGCTTCTACTTTCTTGCCTGCATAGAATGGAACCTTTCACCAAGACAAAGGTACTAAATTGTGAAGCATAAGCTAATATTCGATGCTCCAGACTGAATGACCAGTAAGATGGCCATTTGAAGGTAACTGGAAGGACACTCCAGTGTATATTTTATTCTGGATAGTTTTTATCAAAATAATTTATTTTAATGAGTATATTTATATGAATATGAACTCATAGTCTCCACAATTTTGTATCAAAAAGTTAACTAAATATTATAAATCTGCTATTATAAATTGAACAAAAGTTAATGACAAGAAACTCATGGAGTAGCTTTCTTTGAAGATATTAATTGTTTAAGAAATTGCTGAAAGTAAGTGGCACTGTGTTGTATAACTTCGCCTTGAACTTTCAAAGACCAGTTAGGAAGCAGTCTCTGAAATCTGGTTTTCTGCCCACATGAAGAGTGTAAATTCATACTCCAAGGGAGTGTGTGATTCTCATACTTCAAAAATAGGTATTTAGCAAACAGTTCTTTTTACGATCCTTGAACAGAAATGCTTGCATGCCAGCCTGAGAAATTATTCGTCAAGATGGGTGAATAATTCCTTTAATCAATTTTTTCAAAGGAACTTTGTGAGTCAGGACATTAACTTACTAATTTAATAACCAGCATAGCTAACTCAGTTGTAGGCTTTGAAAATGGGAAGTTTTGTTGTAGGCAGCACACACGGAGACATGCCTGCCAGTGAGAAGCTCTGTATTTCTAAAAAGGAGTTCTCTGATAAAGAAAACCAATCAGAAATCAACCCAAATGCAGATCCCTGTCCGTGTAGACTACAGGACTTTAGCGTTAGTGCATGTGTGATCGACCTTTGGATCGATCCACACTGCTCCACCTGTTTCTAATGCGGGTCTGGAAGCACCCTTGGGACCAAATGGCCCTTCTGAAAATGAACTACTTCCCTCTGAAATCAAAGAACCCTTTATTTTCCTGTGTCTTCCTTCTCCTTGGGATCAACCCAGGGAAAAATCACTCAAATTCATGGCTACACTTATTTAATTCAAGTAAACCTGCTAAGTTAAGAACTTTACAATAGTATGGCAGATTTCATTCAAATACCCACATCAACAGTCTTGAGTTTCAACGGGAGAAGTGGAGGATCTGAGTGAAATCTCACACTGCAACCCTTCAGCCATCCTAAATGTACAGCTATTGGGAGTTCATAGTCTCTGTTTTTGGAATTCTTTCTTAGATTTTCTGCAAATGAGCAATTCCTATTATCCTATAATTTACACTGAATTAAAATAAATTATTCAGCTCCGGCAGTTTTCTGCACTTGAATTTCTGAATAATTAGGCAAATGAACATTACCTAAACATCCTAGTGAGCGTTCTGCAAAAATATAAAAATTTAAGAGCTATTTTCTTCCTTCAGTTCACTGCTGTGGATGGAATTCTAGACCTCCCTTCTGGCACCCAGATCCTGTCATCCTGCCTCACCAAAACTTCTTGGACATAGCTCTTTTGGGGAGCCATCATCTGCCTGGCCATGACCACCAACTTCCCACTGACACCCCCTCCAGCCTTTGTAGGTGTGAAACAGATAAGGCTGTTTCTTTCCTAAGCCCAGAACACCCATGTAACCCACACTGTCCTGGAGTTTATGTGCAAGGGGACTCCCTTCTCTGCTGGAACCCCCACCCCCCCCATCAGAACAATGGAGTTTAAATATTCTGGTGACCAAAACCTAAATATGGGAAGGTTCATAACTGGCAGTTTAGAATCAGGTGATTTATTTCCCAGGTTCAGTGAAAAACAAAAACTCCCTGGACAGTTTTATTTAATCCATGCTGGCCCCACGGTTTGAATCTCTTGGTTGGCTTCTAGGGGAGTAGATTTAGAGGGGAGAAGGATGAGGTTCTATGTCACAGTGCTCTGGGAAAGAAAGAACCTGAACTTCCGAAGACCAAGCTGAAATGCTTCCCATTTTTTCCCAGAGAACGCACCGAAGAAAAAATATTCCAAGAAGAGACCAGGGCCAAGGGGAACTAGAAAGAAACAGACTAATGGGCCAATAGAGGAGTCCAAGTGCAGAGGGCAGGAATGCCACTAGCAGGTACACTATACAAAGCAGCATTTTGCAGGCCACGCAAATGTGGGCCTGGGAGGCGTTTTAGACTATTCTTGAGATGGAGAACCTGAGTCCAGAGAGGAGCAGTAAAGATTTGACCAAGGTGGCAAGAATTCGGTTCACACCTGAAGTCTAGTTTACCAGCCTGGCTCTCTTGCTTGTTTCTCAATATGGTTAAAGCGGACAGTTTCAGGGATTCTCCCAGTCTCCCTGTGTCTTTTCTTAGACACACCTGCTAGAGATCAATCTGCCGCAAGTAGCTGCGTGGTTAAAGTGTAACTCAGGTCTATTTCTAGTATTCTAGTGTCTCTGTCCTTCCTGCCTCTCCCTCTCGATTCGCCCTCCCCCTCTCTTCTCCTCTCCTCCCCTCACTTTTTCTCCCTCCTTCCCCCCTCCTTCTCTTCTACCTCCCAGGTTCCTCTCCCCACTTCCTAACCCCTCCAATATCCTGACACCTCCCAGATGGTGCCCCTCACCTTCTCTGCTGGGGTGTTTGAAGGTCATGGCTGCTGCAAGCTCCCCGCCGTGAACCGCCACACCAGCTCCGTGGGGCGCCAGCGGGGGTCCCTGGGCCGGTGGCCAGGGAGGTCCCGGGGAAAGGTAGCCGGCTGCCGGAGCGCTGTACACACTGTGCTGGTTGGAAGCCGGGTAGGCGCAGGCAGGAAGAAAGCCACCCACTGCGGAAAGGCTGGATGCAGTCTGCAGATAGAGACAGATTGTCAGAAAACCAAACCCGCCGACTTCTCCAGCACAGGCCACGTTGACGCGTGGAATCTGCTGTCCCATCGCTTGCCTCTGTTCTGGGACTCCCTAGCAAACCGATTTCTGAAAGTCAACTACAGTGATAAAAAGTGAGGAGGTCGCAGTAGCAACCTTCGGGTGTTTAGACAAAAGGGGGCTTTCAGCCTTGTTTGTTTATTTTTTAATCAGGAGGTAAGGCAGTCTCCTGACCTCGAAAGCCTGGCTGCTGCAAACTAGGACCGTGGAACTTGAGGACAGCAATAGGCCGCTGAAGATGCTCTCTGCTTAGACTTAAGCCTGGAGACAGCGCTGTTCTTTCTCTATGTCTCCCTCGCCCCAACCCTTCCTCTGTGCCCCCCCACCCCCGGCCCAAGGTCACCTCCTGCCCAGCATTCCGAGTACCTGAGTATATTTAATGTCTGCCTCCAAAGCAGGTTTCTCGAGCCCATTCACTGCTGGTGAGGCGGGGGAGGCGGCTCCGCCCCCACCCGTGGGGGAATAGGCAGCGCCTTCGCCCGCAGACAGGGCCCCTGCAGGAACGCAGATGGAGTGGAAGCCTTTGCACTCTCGAAGGTCTCCAGCCCAGATGTTTGCAAAGGAGCCAATGACCCAATGGGTGTTACCAGACATCCCCTCCCGCACCCGGAGACTGTGCAAACTCCCAAGGCCTTTCTTTGGAGGTAGAAGGGAAGTGGGGCCCGGCATTTGGCTTTCATTCAGAGCAGGGAGCCCGGAGGAGAGGGCCTGCCCTTCATTTCCCCCAGGCTTTGGCCCGCTTCCTACGAAATGCACCAGCGAAGCTCAACCAGAGGCAGTTTCTCCACTGCTCGGAAGTGACAATCAGAAAGTTTCAAATTCAATGTAACTTCACGAAAATTGTGTCATCTAAAGGGCTAAGAGTCCATTTTAGCCTGGGACTGCCTCTAGGGACATTCTTGGTCTCCCAAATGAGGCAACAACTCTGAGACCCACACCAGGATATCCCAGGGACAGAGCTGTTCCCAGTTCAGGTGTGTGTCCCCAGCCGAGGGAAGGCTTCAGTTTGGGCATAGGCATGGTAGTCACTTCCCAACCACCTGCCTGGCCTCTGCTGCTCCATGGGAAATTTTGGTCGGTGTTATGCTGATGTAGAGCCACCCAGAAGAACAGAGTGCAAGACCTCTGAAATCAGGGCTAAGCGGTCCACTCTCCTCAGCTTGTTTCTCCTAGACTGCTTACTGTCCTCCAGAGTCTGCTAGATTAAGGAAGGAAACACTAGCTGTTCGGGAAAGGGAACCAATGCTTCTAGAAAACACCCATATGCATTGTCCTAGGCAGGGCACCAAAGTTGAAGGAAACTTCCGACCTTTTCCATCCAACAGAAACTACCAACATCTGGCTGAATTTTAATGACAATCAAAGCACAAGTCCTAATGACTGTCCCTGAAGAGAATGGGGCACCATTACCTCTATTCTAATGACAGGACTTGAAAGGCCTCTGAACCTGACAGAGATCTGGGCCACACTTAAAAGAAAAACTGACCACAAGGGCTCTTTCTCTTTTACTCAACAGAGTTTCTGGGCCTGCATTAGCTCCTGAAGGAACCTGAAAGCTAAAGAAAGAGCCGTGCACAATGTCCCGAGCGGTTTGTTTGGTTTAGATTTGGCGATAGGCATTTGCATTCTTTTTGCAAGAATGAAAAAATACAATTTCAAGCCTCCGATTTTGTGGTCTGCGTCTGCTCTTCTATTTGGGAAATATTTTCCATATTTGTCATAAAAAGTTCAAGATGTCCGAAGACTCCCACAGAAGGTTCTGGACCCCCAACTTCCTTGACCAGTCCTGAACTATTCTCTGAACTAAAATCAGTCCTAGGAGGAAAAGGGCATGCGACCCCCTCGCTCGCCTTCCCGCCCCCAATTCTGTCCCTTTGTGGAGAATTACAGAAGACATCACGACTGACCTGTTTGCTCCATAAACGTCCGGATGCCCAGGATGTTGCTGACTGAATGCGCCGAGGGCCATGAACGCGGGATGCTGACGTGGCCCGCGGAGCCGGGGACCCCAGGATGGCTGCCCATCTTGGTGCCCGTGGGCGACACTGGGCTAGGATAGGGGTACTGGTAGATATGATTGTAGGGCAGGGCAGGCTGCGGTGGTGTCTGCTTACTTGCTTCGTAGGGCCCTGGCTGCGCCAGGCTGCCAATCTTGTTTCGCAGGATGCGACTAATGGAACTCACAGAGGGCACGTTGTACTTGTCACAGACACCATCAGCCAGGAGCCGGTCACGAATCTCCCAGGCAAAGATGCCAGGGTCTCCCTGTTTGTAGTCCCGGATGTGCTTCACCACGTTGGGGGTGGTGACTCGGGGTTTGCTGCCCCCAATGGCCCCGGGCAGGATGGAGCCTGTCTCGTTGTAGCGCGCCAGGATCTTGCTCACGCAGCCATGCGAGACCCGCAGTTGCCTACTGATGTCACAGGGTCGGATACCCAGCTGTGCTAGCTCCACGATCCGCAGGCGGATGGCATTGGGCAGGGGACGGCCGTTGACGAACACACCACCGAGCTGGTTCACTTCGCCGTACGTCTGCTCTGCGGACGCGCCGGGCCGGATAGGAGTGAGTAGGCAGGGAAGAAAACACCGGCCGGTTGTCATGAGTGTCCTAGCGGGCCAATGCACTATACACCCTAGCGCGACTCTAAGGTAAACCTGCAGGTCCACCCCTACCCCTGACAGCACAGATCCTGAGGGAAGAGAGGGGTACAAGCTGGCAAGAGTCAGGACCAGAGGCAAGCATTGTGTGCTTCAGCCCTTCCAGCCCTCTGGCGACTTTAGAAACGCGTCCTCATCTCCTCCCTGAACTTAAGAGTCTGTCCCCTCGAGGACCCCGCACGTCAGAGAACGCGGCTACTGTGGGCGCAGAATGGTTTTGCCCAGGGAAGGGGGATCATTAGGAAGGCAGACAGAGAGTATCAACCCAGCTTCGCACCCGCCCA